TTTAAAATATTATTAATATTGTTTATTACATTTTTCATGAGTTTTCCATGTACAGTGGTTTGTTGTACTTGATAGTAACAGTTTTGTAGGTGATAGTAATTGATAATAGTAAACTTTCTGGAATTTTGAATATCCCTAAAATAAAAGAAAATAAAAAGGAAGCAATAATATATTTTTAATGCAATATATTATTTTTCTGAAGAGGAATTTTTCCGAATACGATACATCGTACCATTAAAAATTCTGGGATACCTAGATCGAGGAATTTCGGAGGTGATGCGAAATTCTGAAAATGAGTGGAATAGAGCCTATTCAGTTAGAAAGTAGAACAAGTATACTCGTAACGCTGTCTATGCAAACAAGTAGAATAGGTCCGCGTTTGGGCGAGCGGGTAGGAGCATGCGAGGACCGGCAGAGTAGGACTGTAGCTAACTGGGCAACCAGAATGGATGGTGCTGTATAGGGTCGGACAAGTGGGATAATTTCGCATCACGTTCGACATGGCCTGAAATAGATATATGTCTCCATAGACAAGTAGGGTGGCTCTGTACTCCTACCAACCATGCAAAATTTCAATGCTTTCTCACGGTGTACATAAACTAATTATTATAATTTTGTAGTACTTTTGCACTCCAAAAATTATAATACATTTCCTGCTTATTTTCTACAGCATACGATATACCTTTCACGCAACAAAAAGGTAGATATAATTTTAAATTATTTAAAAAAGAAAACATTAAGATTCGATAACTTTGACTAAATCCTGATTTAAAGAAAATAACTTCAGGATTAAACAGTCAAGTATTTCCTACTTCAAAAATCTCCACAGTACACTGCTCGAAAACTCCTTCCTCACCCCATCATTCCCACTATCCCGCAGCACGATAAAATTCCCCAATCCCATCTCACGTCGCGCCAATAAACAAACTCGAGCAACCGGGTCTCAAGAAATATATCCCAAGGTACCGAATAATCCAGCCCCCAAGTGCTTCCGCAAACCCTGTGCGACTACACAACCACTGAAAAACACCTCGACGAGCCCGTTACTCTCCATCGCCGAATACCCAAAGAACCAAATTAAAACGACCGCGCCCCGCCCTCTGGAACCCCCGGCAAAACCCGAGCCACCCCCGCGGGCAAAAAGCACCCCGGCCGAAACACTAACAGCCAAACCAGATTTAGCGACACGATTCGTTAGTGGACGTAAAAACGGGAGACAGAGGAAGTTTAATTGCATTGCGTGTAACCGAGACGATGAAACCATTAAACAGGGGGCGCCGTGTTCGCGTGCTTGAGGACGTAACGCTGCGAGCCAGTGGTATAAGCACGGCATTAACGCGACACGTGTTACGCGTACGGTAGAGCAGGCCGCGTTAGCCCGGCGATCGTAATACCTCGTCACCTGTTATTTATTATGCCTGTAACACGCCCGTAAGGCGATACGTTCTCCGTGGGGGCACGCGTGGCAACGACGAGGCAGGGAATAAAGGGTGTTCTCAACGGAACGCGTAGGAGCGTCGTAAAACCAACGGCTGACGACTTTCAGCCGGCAATAAGCGACGAATAAAGATGGTTATTGTTCGTGGCTGACGCGCGAGAACGGGATACCAGAATCAACGCCCCTTTCAAACGGTCCCGCGTCATGCACGCCGAGGAATTGCGCTTGCTAGCAAGGCGTGTTACGTGTGTCTCGCGCCGTGTTACTGCGAATTTCACGATTGAATCTCGCGAACCGGGATGATTATTCGTTATCTCCGTGTTTTACAGTTCGGGTGGTTGGTTTTTATTTCGGTTTTGAATTTCTCCGTGATTTATTTCCTATCGCTCTCGCGTAATCTATTTTTCCCATAATTTTTGGGGGGGTTTTCAGTGAAGAAATGAAAAACGAAAGAATTTCGAATAGCTGAGATAACTTTTCGTTTTGCATGGACTTGCTGTACAAAAATGTGCAGGTTATTTTTTAGTTTAAATATTGATGTTACAAAACAATTACAATTACACGCGATAAATTAATTGGGAAAAATTAATTAAAATTTTGGGACTAAAATGAGCTCTATAATAAATACTTAATATAACAAAATGAAAATAGTAGAGAAGAATAAATACCCTCCTACTAATTTTTAATTCATTTCCCTATTTTACTAATTACAAATTTACTACTGAGGAGGACTGAGAATTATAATTCCACGCGATAAATTAATCGGGGAAAGTGACTAAAATTCTGGGACTACGATGAATTCTGTAATAAATGATTAGTATCACGGAAATAAAATACAGTATAGAAGAAATATTTGAAATACACGATTGTATATTCGAGTACCTGTCATAAATACTCTGCTGCTGATTCTTAATTTGTTCCTCCATTTAACTAATTAAAAGTTAATTTCGTTTTCACGTTCGCGTTAATCGCGACGAATATGAGGGAAGAATTTATTCCCGAAGATAAAACGTGGAATACAACTGTGGATGATCGTAAATCGGTGTGTGCTTGCTCGATCAAGTAGAACGAACGAGCATTTGTGAGGCAGTCTGACTAATTAAGCAAAACGAAGCAGTGCACCGATAAGCAGTTTCGTTTTAAGTTCAACAGAGCGTTTTCAGCTGCGATACCGTATCTAGACGGACAAGTAGCACAGGTACACTTGTATACAGGCAAGTAGAAGAGGTCAACATCTGTGCAAGTAGAGCGGTAATGTACCGACAGGCGAGGAGAATAATCCCGTATCGAGTCAGACACGGTCCGTACTACCTGACCTGGCACGATAGTCTCGCATGGGGTCCCATGACGTCGCAGCATCCGCAAACAGAATATTCGCAAACCACGACGTGTAAGTAGAACGTGTCTACGTGCTTTGACGAGCAAATATCAAGCATCGTCGAATTTAATACCTGCACGATTATTTGAATTTTCATTTAATTCACTGATTCCTATTTTAATTTTATATCGACATTTAATACTCGTCGTAGAATTTTTTTAATTTTACCTTTTGCGAATCTAAAAGGGAGAATAAAATTAGAAGGTAGAGAATAAGATTTCTGAAGTATGGTATCATGGAATTTATTACTTGGACGATGATTTCCGAATTATCGTTTAATACCGATTACTGAATTTTATTTTTAATATTAATATCGAGGATTCGTCACAGAATTTTTTGAATTTTGCCTTCTGTGGCTCAGAAATGGAAGAATTAAAATAAGAAATAGAGAATATACAGATATAGTAGAGATATAAAGTCTCTCAGAATTTATTATTTGCAAGATTGTTTGCATTTTTATCTCTACTTTGATACCGTAGATTCATCATCGAGACTTTTCTACTTTATTTTTCTATATTCAAAAAAGGAAGAATTGCATGAAACGGAACCAATAAATAATAGTTCATTTTATAAGAGATACACAATAATTCACGAGTCTACATTTTGAAAGCGAAATATCTAAAAAAAAATACACTATAATCTTTTTTAGAAATGGGAAACCATCGATTCAACTATATTGTAAACGTATTTTTACGACGCAATTGGCTTGATTTTTTATTTACCATTTATAAATCCTCAAATACCCAATTTACCGATTAGAAAATGGCAATAAAGTATCGATACTCTGTAAAACCAAAATGATTCATCGAACCACGAGTGCTGCGCGTTCAAGAAAACGTATTCATTCTTCGTTAATCACAAACACACGTTCGTCGAAACAAATGAAACAATTAAATCCCTGCGCATAAAGCAAGTCAATTCCACCTAACCGTGTACAAGTAGTACGAATCAGTGCGCGATCAGGCGGCGAGTAAAAAATTCTGTTTCCCTGTTGCGAACGTAATAATTTATAGAGGCGGACTGCCGTCGAACGAGTGCCGTCATATATCGTAACATGCTCGAAAAATCACCGCGAAAAGACGACCGATCGGCTCTCCCCAAAAAAAGGACGAAAAATAAAAAAAAAAAGAAATAAAAAAAATATAAAAAGGAAAAAATAAAAATCCCACTTTTCGTCGTATTACAAACGATCCACGGTGTAAAGTTTAATGCCTCGACGAAACAAAAGCGTGGAAGGCCCGCTGTTGGTTCGAGTTTACTGCCTCCAGTTGCGAAACGTCGCGTTATGAAGTTTGCGGTCGCTTTCAGCCAACGACGAGACAGAATCTCTCTGTTCGGGGAAAACTCAGCGTCCGCGGACCCATCGCGCGTAATTTCGCTTCTCCTTAACAGCGGATCCCAGCTCCACCCAAATGGACAAGTAAAAAGGCGAGAAACTCTCTTTTTCCCTCGCAAAGTCCCTATCTTTTGTCTCATTCGATAAGCGCATCAGTATCCTATGCTCTTGAAATTCGTTAGTACCTGTAGCTCAGGGATCGACGTGTTGTTATAGCAACGAGTATTTCGAATACTAAAATCTCTTTATTGCGGTGTTTCGCGTTTCACATTCGTAGAGTAGACGTTTTATATCGGAGTGAGGCGAAATCGAGTGGAAAATATGGGATTGCGATAAACCCTGCCAGGTATAATCGACCAAGCTCTTGATTCTTAATGGATGCACTCAGATTATGCTTTCGACTCGATAAAAACAATCCTCGTTTGCCACGAAGTGGAGAAATGCACACCACCGAGTAAGCCTATCTAGCTAATCAGAATAGCAAGTTTCTGACATCCTTGACTCCAATTATAAAATCTTCCAGGAACCATCCACGAATATCTCACACTATCTATCAAAAAAATGATATTTCAAAGTCGAAAAATGAAAGGGAAAAGAATAAAAAGAATAAGAATAAGTAAACCTTTGAAAAATCCAAAGTATCTGCAGTAACGCTAGGCTAGCAGTGACATTACCGCGGAAACAGCGATTCCCTCTGCGAGTAGCTGAAAATAAAAAAGAGAAAAAATAATAAAAATGTAAAGGGAAGAGCAGTTGCGCGAATACGAGGCTAAAAGTTACACTCGTAGACCAGGCGTGGAGAAAGAACGATTCTCCTGTGTAACCATAATGACACGGTGTTCCCTCAGAAAGCTGGGCTGGGAGCGTGGGATGCAGTCGGTAACCGGAGCCCTCTCGTTGGCCTTCTTCCTGGGCTTGATTTACAGGAGCGCCTCTCTCTATCATCCGCAACGACGGAGCATGTTACACGTGAAGAATCAACGGGGTGGCAAGCTGAAAGAGAAGAAGACCGCGGCCAAGCCACCGAGGCAACCGTGGGTGGATCTCAGCCCTCTAGGAAGTCGTCCTGTCAGGATGTTGATGCTGGCCGCCGGAGCAGCCGGTTTCGGCCTTTATACGCCTGCCTTTTACATCGTGAGTACCCTAATTACCGTACGAGGCATCGCCTCTGGCCTCAAGGAGGTGTATCCAGATCAAGGAGATGCGATGTTCCTTCGCTCGCATGCGTTTCCAGATACGTCATCCGTTTCCGTGTCCTCTCGTAATAGTAAATTACTCCTTGCTTCCTGCAAGGGTAATCTTCCGTTTGCGTGCTCAGTGGGAGCTAGGTGATCGAGGTGCCAATTATCGGGACGTTTCCGTGTTTCGTGACAGCAAGGTTCAGGACAAAGAGGTAATCGGACTGCCAATTGCCAAGATTCTTTTGTCTTATATCCTTGTGAACATTGGAAACGCGGTGATAATTGAATCGCTGATCACTGTGGTTCTTTGCTAATCTGTGTAGGTGAGAATGTCGAAGATAAAGGGATAATTAGGTTACTAATCGCTGGCATTCTTCCCTATTGAGGTGATCATGGCGACAGTCGCAGGAATTCATTTGCTTTTCGTGGATTCCATGAATTGGACTTACCAATTTTCAAAAACTGTCTGCTTTATATTTTAGTAGACATCCATGACGGAGTACTGGGATTTTCTTCTTCGTCGTTGACGTTTGTAAAGACGTCTTTGTCTACCTAAACATAAATATGGAAACGTTCAGTACAGAGAGCCAATTGACATGTCATAGGTGATAATAGAGATATGAAATAATAGAATAGATGTGAATAAAAATAATTGAGTAATCAACAGTGCGCAAGAGTTGACAGGGATTATATGAAGTTCATTCGAAACTGCAGGCTACAATCATAGATATACGAGAATTGGCTAGAGTTAAATTAACAAGAGTCTTGGTCTCTAACCGATCACTGGTTCGCCAGGTTCGGCCATGCTGAGGCCAAATCGCAAAACTGCCAGGAACACGCGTATTTCTCGACAACAGCAATCAGAGAACGTGCCACAGTTGGCAACTTCATCCTCGAGTGAAGTTTCGACAAAGTTAACCGGTTTACACGCTCATAATCGTGGTTCACCCGGCCTCTGTGCGTCCTGTCCCAACTCCTACACGCGTACACGCGTCAGTTAGTATTTCAGACTCCACAGGAGTTTCGTGGATGTTCCTACTGCGGTATTCCATAGGTGGATGATGTTTTCGGAGGTTGAAAATCGCTGGGAACATAAATTCAATCTGTAATAAATAAATTAGAAACTTCCTACGCGATCGTGTCGAGACGAAGAATAATACTTACATTAGGTTCCAGTTTTACCTATTTAGACTTACAATTAGGTTCAGCGAATGATCTTTTTATTGTAATTAATCTTCCTTCATCGTGACACTCGTATTTGACTCCTACGTTAGCTCTTTGGACCTAGAAGTGAGTTTCACGAATGATTCGTTTCATCCGAGTTAGCAGGAGTGTGCTTCTGAAGATGATTCGTTGGAGATGAAAAGTTCATCAATCAACAAAGTTGATTGAGAGCCACGTGCTGGTCAGCTGTACACTAGCCTCATCACCTGAAAGCACAGACTAGTACTATATTTTATATACTCCTTTGTGGACAGACAGACTAACTTGCTAGTGAAAGGATCAAAGGATAGTTGTCTTAACTGTCCAAACATTGTAGCACCTGTAGGAACTATATTCCTGTTCTACGAGGCACCAGAGTCTTGGACTAACCTCCAAACTCTCTCAAACATCATACAACAATAAATCCTGCGACTCCAATTTCCATCTACAATCATGAATCCTGTAACTCTAACCTTAAACGACTTCAAGATAGATATCTAAAATTCTTTTTCTCACAATAACTCCATCTACAAGCATAAATCCAATTCGACTCGAAGATGGACACCCAAAATCCTCTCTTTCTCACAATTACTCCATCTGCAAACAGACCTTTGCTATAAAACCGGCCTGAATCGATTCGTAATAACGTCGTTGTTCCTAACACCTTCTTCTATCTGAACCTTCCCTCCCTCTATCCGTCAAACTTCTCCGGAGACTATCAATCATCCCCGTGAACTTTCCATCCACTGACCACTTATCCACGCCACTTTGGACCTTTTCCTCCCGTGGCAATCAGCTAATGAAACACATCGGTTCCAGGCTGTCCAGGGCCACAAAGATGGTTTGGAGTTCAGCGCCCTGGTGCTTCTGCAGACTTGCTTGGGCTTGGCAGCGGCACTCGGCTGCGCGGCTTGGGGAGTCGTTACGGCCAGACCATCTGCCCAGTGCTTGGTGTCCAGACAATACCTCTGCCAGGCAGCGCTGCTCGGAGTTGGTCAGTATACAACGTTAACCGTGGCCTAGCGAGGTTAGCGAGGAGATCGCGGAAGAACGTCTCGCGATTGGAAGAGTTGAGCTCGAATGACTCAATGCTGCGAATGATTCGTCGAAGGGCGGCTTTGTAGCAGAGCAGAATTTTCGTGCAGAATGTCGAAATCCTCCTGACCTACCCTTATCGTTCGTCATGTCGGAAGACAGGGGTAGGTCAGGATTGGAATACAGTTTCTGGCGATTATTACAGTTGGAAGACGAAGAGTAATTCATCAGAGATTAACATCTCAAGATCCCGATTCCGATAGAGATTTCAGGAAACGTGGAAAGCTTCCATATGTAACTAACCGACATAAATTGATCGGAAATTTAACGAGTCGAATCCAGCGAACACTTTGACAGGAGACAGGTGGTGCCGTAAAATTAATCTCGTCATAAAATAATATCGATTTCGAAATTAGGCATTTTATTGGTAATAGTAATCGGAATTTCTTTCGAAAAAGTGTCTGTATGACAGCTCTCTGCAGCCGATATTATCGACATTTCTGACCGCGAGCTGCCCTGGCTAACTCGGTCGATGCTCGGATGACGTCTAACACTGGCACTCGCTACGTTATTCGTGAGAGGACAAAGCTCCGTTTCGTCAACCTTTCGTCGACTTCGTCAACGCTAATTTCGGTGCGAGAAACGAAAGCTAAAGTCAGAGATCGTCAGTCCCCGTTAATTCCTCGCTGATCGAGCATACTTACCGAGCACCCAGTATGCAGAGAAGGGGTTGGCCGCGGTAAGCACGGTCAGCGTGGCGTGTGTTATGCTTTCGCCCAGAAGGTTCGTCGGCCGGAGGTTTCTAAACGTGCAGCACCCATTCAGTCGCGGGGTAGACTCACCCCCGTCCCTCTGCGGCGCTGCACGCGGTTGTGTGCCGCCCTTTTGAAGCGGCCAGGGCTCTTCGAGTGTCAGTCGCATACACGTCTTTGCCCCTCATTCAGTCGGCTTACCCTCGGCTCGAGTTCTCGACACAAAGTATTTTCCATTCTGTCCCGCAGCACCACCCCCGCCAGGCGTCGCCACCCCTTCTGTCTTCTTTTCCCTCGTTTCGCAGAGAAAGCTGTCGCTTCGTTTCTCGTCGCAGAGAGAGAAGGAAACCTTCCTTCTCTTCCTTTCTCTCTCCATGTTTCTCTTTTCCACACCGTGGAGACAAATATCGTTTCAGAGAGAGAGGGAGAGAAAAGTTTGCTCTCTCTTTCTTTCTCTCTTTACCTCGTTTTGAGGGTCTTCTTTCCTTTTTCCTCGCTTTGGAGATCCTCCTGTCTCTCTTCTCCTCTCTCTTCGTTCCTCTTTTCCTAGCTTTGGAGATAAATATCGTTCCAAAGAGAGAGAGAGAGGAGGAAGCATCCCCTCTCTTTCTCTCTCTTCGTTCCTTTTTTCCTCGCTTTGGAGATCTTTCTCCTCCCCTCACCCCTCCCTCTCTCCCTCTCACTATTCGTTTCTCATTTCCTAGTTTCGAAGACGAATATCGCTGCAAAGAGAGAGAGAGATAGGGGCCGGGGGAATCGTTAATGGGGTTGCTCTGGACAGAGGAAGCGCATTTAAAGCGTGACGCTAAGCCGAGCCAGCGCTTCCAGCGATTTCGTTACCCCAGAAGAAACTAATCAACCGGTACTCGAGCTTCCACAGGACAGAAGGAGGATCGTGGATGTTTGGTACAGAGGAATATTTCTGTCTGTCTTCGATCCGCCGTTCTAATTGGCCGGGTGACTGTGGGGTGGAGGAAAAAAAGGGGTAAGTCGAGGTCGAGGTTCTTTGGTGCTCGATTCTGCTGCCTGGTTGGCTCCCTTTGCCATGGTTTTCCGTTTTTGCGTTAGTAAATCAGCTTTTCTCTTCATCGACTGGATCACTCGTGTTAGGTGTTTCAAGCGGATTTTTCTCCCCTATTTTCCACCCATCGATTATCTCTTGTGTACGTCCAACATTTGTTCAATTGCAGGAATGATTGATTACAGGTGCTTCTAAAATGTTATATCACGTCCTGCGAGGAAATAAAAGATTGAAATTAGCATATTTCGAAATTACAACAAATATCGAGCTCTTTGGTATGTTACGAATCTGACTAGCAATTTACAAATCTGGGAATGAAAATATTCGCGATCTATTTTTTAAAAGACCGATAATACATTTAAAATTTTGTAGAATTTTGTACCTCCTTGAAGGAACATACTATTGCAAAATATATCACAGAAATAGGATAAAAATATATCAAACAGGTATTCTCCATAAATATATGAAACCTCGAATATAAATCAAAGAACAAGAATCAAGCTTTTAACCAACATAGTTGAGCTTTTTGATCCAATTTTCCTGTGATTTCTCCAGCCGGAAAATTCCTCGTAACGTAAAGAATTGCAATCAACCATTTTTTAAAAATTCGACTGCGTGTCAATGATCTACCATGCAAAATTCAATTGTTCGCGCGAAATCCAATCTCGTTGAATCCTTCAATCCGACCTCCCTCATTGACAACTCGAAACAGCCCAGAAATTCGAAGCACTTTCCGAAAGAGAAAACCGTGCAAACTTTGGAGGATCCTTCTGCTCCCAATCTGCGATACAAAATTGAAGGAACGAGACACGAATCGCGAGCTTTGTTCGTCGAATCTTCCATTCGGTTATCGAAGAGGGAGCAGCCACGATCGTGGAATCGGCGGAGGGTGTCGGAGGAACGCGGAATATTTCATCGCGACTACGCGCTGGAACGTGAAATTTTAATCCCACGCAGCGCGAACAGGCGATCGAGGGATCGGATCTCGTCCGGGATCGAGATCGTTTCGAGGAATCCGAGGGCCGCGAGGAGATGAGGCGACCCTGATCTCACGGGTTTAGGGGCGAGTCGCGGGAGTAGGACGATTGGAGCAATTCGAGTCGACCGTCCATTTTAATGGGAAACCATATCGATCGTGGAATATGTTTTTTCTTTTTATTCTCGCCGAGCTGGAATATCGTTGCTTGTTATCCGTAAACGACGATTATCGTTGTATGTTCTGTGGAGTGGTCTAATGGATAAATAGATTGCTACAGAGGCAAGAAACGATCGAAGAGAGTCTGTATCGGGGACAATATTTCTCTCAGATGTAGCTTGGAAATTATTGCGAGTATTTTTGAGTCCTGTGTCTACTAAAATCCCTCGAATATTTTCAAGAAATTATCCCTTAAATATTTTGAGCAAAGAAGAGGGACGAGTGATTGAGATAAGATTATTTTCATCTGCAACCTGTGAAGGAATTTTCTTATTTTTATTATTAATTTAATTTTTCCGACCTCTTGATTTTCCAAAGAAACTGTTAAATTGATATTTCTAGTAGTGGAGAAGTAGAATTATTATATTTCAATTTGCTAGTGTAAAATTCAGATTATTAATTTAATTTCTTAAATTTCTTCATTTTCTGGATAAGGTATTAAATTAATTTTTAACAACGATGAAATGGAACTATTACATTTCAGTTTGCCAATTTGAAACGCAGATATTAATTTGCTAGAAATGCAGATTAATATTTCTGAAGATTTAAGGAACAACAGAGAACAGAATTTTTGTTATTAGGAAAAAACACGTATTTGTGGAGGCCATAAAGGAGGTAGAGAAAAAGACTGGTTGGATGACGGCTGTTTTAATAAAGAGGCAACCTGCTGTGGCCAAATTTTTTACAGTTATTGCCGAGGTTACAGCTCCTCGTAATCTTAAAGCCCAGATGCGTCTCGCGAAGACATAGTCTGTGGAATATACTACTCGCCAAAAATTTGGAGTCACTTTCCTGGTTCTACTTGAACCGAATATTCTGCCAAAATTAGCATTAATTTAAAATTCACACTTTTAGAAAAATATTTTTTACGTAAACGAAAATTCTTAATTAAATTTTTCTTAATGTTTTATTTCTACGAAACACGATAATTTTTGCCTCTTGATTAGTGTACACAATAGCATACGTAGTGTAGGACTATTAATATTAGGAAACATAAATTCACCCTATATAACACGACTGCAAAATTCCAAGCTAATTGATCCCTACCTGATAGTTTCGAATTTACTTCAAATATTTACTCAAAATTCTTTTCAATTCGAAGCAAAATTCCTATAGATATGAAGTTTCATTTTCATTTTTCAATTTTAAAAATTAAAATCGATGCTGGGATTCCAAACTTTTTGTCTCTACTGTACTCACACTCAAGATTACAGGAAAAATGCAAAGACGCGAAAAATTTGGTTCCTCCTCAATTCATTTGATCTAGAACGATGTTTTAACAAATAATTCCTGATCAAACCATGTAAATATTTGACGGTTGATCAGCAACGTCGTAAAACGATGGCTTGATATATTCACCTGGCATACATAAATTTCATGACGGCCCCGCAAAGACAATCACGTGGAACATTAAACAGAACATACTCAATTAACGGCCAATGTAAATTTGCGCACTATATTCCCTGTAGATTCATCGATCATGTCGCAACATCGCGACAGATTCGATTAGAGAACAGCATCTAAATCCTCCCAAATTACACTGTTTATCCAGTCTGGAACAAAAATCGACTATAAAGTACTCCATGTAAAGTTAAATTAATCAAACTACATATTCACACCCTCAAAAAATCCAACCCTTTAACCCACCCCTTAAATTTAATCCAATTCGTAAATTTTATTCACAACCGAGACCAAACGCGCGTACGCCAAAAACTACGCACCTCAAAGTTATCACCCCATTCTAACCAACTAACCAAATATCCCATCGAATCGATATTCATTACCAAAAATAAAAAAAAAATACAGAAACATCGATTAAACGCACGCGGTGCCAAAATGATACTATTCCCAGGTCGCGAAAGTCTCGCAAACTGAACGCAATGACCAGGTGCGAAATAAACAACCCTTGGACCACCGTCGACACATTCGTCGATCCTTACAGTTGACCACGATCGAACGAAATATCGTCACCCCAACTTCGATCCTCGAAGCCTGCCGAATTAACCAGCCCGATCGATCGAAATCACCGCGGCCATAAAGGAGGCATTAAGAAAGATCAGCTGGATAAAACCCGAACGAAATACAACGATGGGATAATATCAACGCAAATATCGTCCACTGGCGAAAATAAAACCCGATAAACCGGACTGGAAGCCGAGCTAATTCCTGGACGAGCGCGCAGCGCGTCCGCCGGCGGGAACAAGGGATGAAACGCGGGGTGGCAGCAGGAAAAATTCCGTGAAACGTAACTCGTAATCAGCGGAGGACCGTATTTTCAGTCGACGACCCTAACACGAACGCGCGTGTTCACGCACACGCACCCGGCGTCGCTTTTCCGACGAAAGGGGTGGCTGACAAGCGCGAGCTAAATATACAAGCGCGACCAGCAAGGGTTCCAGCCCCCAAAAAGCGGCTTATCCCGACGCTGTCGCTGTTGGATCGAGTTCGTTGCCAGCGTCGCTATTCAACCACGACAGATGAACTATACGACGAAAAGAATTTGCAATTTCCTCTGAGGTCTGACGGGGCGGCCGAGCCTCGCCGCGTTTTCATCCCCCTTTGCAGCGGGTCCTGTCGAGAAGCGTGGGAATTCGTCGGGTTGTTATGACGGTTCAACGTTTCGCGTGGTTTCGCAGATGTTGCTTCGGGGCCAGGGCGAAGGAAATGGAATTGGTGTTCGATTTCGTTTGGCAAAGGGATGAGTAAGAGAGTTTTAAATTGTAGGCAAAGAGGCAGTGGAAGTTTGAAGATGTTAGAACGAGAATCGTAGGGGTTCGGTTTCGTTTCACGAAGAGAGAAGAGAATTTTAAAGTGTAAATAACATATAGGAAACTGGAGGGAAAAGAAATGAAAAAGTAGGAAGAGATAAAAATACACATAATGGTTAAAAATAGGGGATACAGACACGTTTGCAGTAAGAAATTTTAAATTTCACGTGATAAGGGAGGAGGAGATTAAAAGATGCGAAAAAGTGAAGTTGGATAGGTTGAAAGTAGGGGTGGTTTGGACGTACTAAATTCGAGTCAAATTTCATTTGCTAAAAACAGAAGATAATTTTAAAATGTAAATAAAATATATGAAACTGGGGGAGAAAAGATTAAAAGATAGAAAAAGATAAAGTAACATGTGGTGGTTAAAAATATGGAAAATTTTAGAAGCGTTAGAGTGATAAGGGTTGATAAAAAGAATTAGTATTCAATTTCTACTTTAGTTATTTGAAAAAGACAATTCCAAATTGGAAGAAAAAGAAAAGAAGATGAAATGATTGAAAATAGGGTGGTTGGGACCAACATAAATCGGTGACGAGCTTCGTTCGATTATAATTTATTCCGGAATTATTAAAACGATAAAAATTCAGAATCTTGTTTAAAATTATTTATTTTTCCTTGAAAAATCTCTTGAAAAATCCAGATCGCAATAAAATTTTTTTCACGAGAAGACCAAGTGAGAGACTCAAACAATTATCTAACCAAAGGAATAGGGGTTAGGGGTCCACGACGGGCGCCATTGCGTCGCACGTCGTCACCACGCCGCCATCATCTTCATCTCCCATCTTCAGTTCCATCATCATTGTCTCACCCAGCTTTTTCACCATCGTTTCACGCGTCTCATTATCTCGTCTCGTTTGCTCAACCCTCCAAGCTTCCAAGCGGATCAAAATCGCTCCAGAACAATTGTCACATCCTAGTCCGTCTCTAACCCTTGACCCGTTCCACATCCGATTCTCCAATTCCTTCCTTTCCGTGCAAATAACACGTGTTGGCCCGAGGGAAAAAATTGAATTACGCGGTATTTCGTTCACGCTCTTTCCGCCATGGGAATATCGATGGAATATCGAGATGCGCACACGTTCGTCTCGTGAAATGTCCAATGAAGTAATGCCGATTACTAACCTGGTTACGATATTACTCTTCGTTCGTATTCTAAACCCTTAAGGGTAGACTTTCGTGTAAGAGATTCAAAAAATTCAATCTTGCAAAATAATGAAGACTCCAAAAAGATATTTTCCTAGCATTTTATAGAATAAAAACGAATCTTTATACCTAACTTCCTCGCAAAATTTTTAATCCAGAAATGCCAAAATCCACTGCCAAATCTTATTTGAATTCGCTAATTAAAAGGATCCTCTTGGTGCAAAGAGTGCGGATTAAAGTAACTCCCAGCGTAGCAAAATTTCTGATATTTTAAATAATTTTCTGCTCTTCGTCTTTCGGAGTTAATCGACTTGACATACGGAAGCTCGTATCTCTCTGGCCCAAAAGCTTTCCGCTCGTTTCACGTAAAGTCTATTACCCGCGCAATGTGGAACAAAGGAGTTAAGGGATGATATCAATATTCGACGCGTCGATCACGGAAGAGGTATCGCGATATCGAGCAGTGGAGGCTTAGCCTGATCGGCGTTTCGATGCTTTATTTCCGGCCAGTGCTAATGACCGGTGCACAGGTAAGAGGATTACGGAATAAAACCAGCCACGATGCGCCGCAAGCATCCATTGGACTTCCTGATACGTGGATGGCAATCTTAAAAGTTCCCGTCGTAAACGTGCCGCCAGGTGTATACACGGGCATTAACGTGCCGTTTCTACCAGAGGCTTTCGTGGATTTAATTGGCGTTGTAACGTTAAGCCAGACCTGTGACGTGAATCACAGCTGGCTGGATTAAGTGTGACTAGCGTCAGTATTATTTGCGATGGAATTTAAGAGCTCGTGTACTTCGCGTGAGAGTTTTAAGTAAGAGCCCCGCAAGAGTTTTAAGTAAGAGGTTTAACTCGTTTTAATAAGTCGGTTATCGCGATTAAAACTACGATAAGCTTGCGTAGTTTAATACCCCACGTGCGAGAGAAAGCTCCCCTTTAGATTTCAGATGTGACTCTTTGTATGGGAAAAATGTATGATACTAATCTCTGAAAAAGCGAATTAAATATTTTTTCAAGGATACCACGAAAATTCTTAAAGTGGAATTCTAAAAATTGAATATTACAAGTGGGAAATTAAAGAATATAATTTTTTTTAGAAATGGAAATATTTAGAAATTTAAGTATTTAAATGTTTAAATATTATTATAAAATTTAAGGAAATGGAATATATTTTGACACGTTATTCGTTTTTCAGCCATAGCTCAGGTGGCGTTGGGCAGCGTGCAGGGCTACCACGGTCTGGTTCTGGCTTCCGGTTTGTATGGTGCGTCCCTCGGCGGCGCCCTTTACTCCCTAAAAATGCTGGCCCTCGAAAGGCTGAGGGCGAGACACTTTGCACGCTCCTGGGCACTCGTGCAGGCTGCGGAAGCTTTACCTATTCTTCTCGGAGTTCCTCTTACTGGTAAATCGCGTTCCTTTGTAGATTAAAAATAGAAACTTACATGTTCCCTTCATTGACAATTACACTTTTCATTAAATAACGAAGTGAAAAGAAGGATATTTTTTAATAAATTACATCCAAATGAAATTAAACTCTTTGGACGTATCTCTGTTCATCCCCATACTCTGTGTCTACACCTATAAAAATGATGGACAGTGAGATACACTATAACGAGTGCATATTACTTAGAAAATGAGACGTGACTTAAGTATTGCTTGATCGCATGAGAACCCCTGCCCTGTTTAATATTTCTCTCGGCATAAAAATAATAAAAAATAAGCATACAAAATTATATCAAACCCTTAAGGAAAACAGTTCACTGTATCTTAAATAGAAAACAATCAGCAGAACTTTACTGTACGAATCTGATACGTTGGCTCGATATACTGTATGAATCTGATAAGTTGGCAGGCTCGAGGAACACTTGTCTGATTGGCCATAGTATAACAAGTCCATCTTCTCCGATACAAGCAAACAAAACAAGAGAACCAGTGGGATAGAAAACTTACCCTTTTACCCCTATATCTCATCTCAAGTGCCAACTTACTAGCCTCGTTTTCAATTGAACCTAACCTATACGTCACAATTCTCAAACAAAGTACCGTGATCCTCAGACACATAGAATTTAATAGAAAAATAACTTTTCTCGAGAAAGAGAGTACAAATGACTACCACTAACCTCAAATTACAGGTTACATGAACGATAACAGCCCAAGGGTGGGTTACTACGCGTGCACGTTAAGTTCCTTGTGCGGTGCAGCGTTGCTCTTCCTGGTGGGCTGGGGTCGCCAGCCGGCGTCTCCGCTTCTTCCTGGTTCACACCTTTCAAACGTGAGCATCCCGCCACCGTGTGCCTGTCCTCCGCCTCCAAGGCCAAGGCTGCCCAAGTCTCAGTCGCTGCACGTGCCCCTGGACGTGGAGGAGAATCTTCGCGATAGGGACATGGAGAGGATGCACACTGCCGAACACTACTACCAGCCGCAATTCTACGGCCCTCTGAGACCCAGCAAGAGCGTTCCAGAGGGTCTGAGCCATCAGGACTCGTACAGAAGTCGGCCGAGACGGCACAGGGACGTGACGGTGATAGAGCAGATCACAACTAGCGTTTAACGAGTAGAAACGTTGGAAGATGTGAAGGAAAAGGGGATGAATACGTTTGGACTGACGTTGAATGATTGTTGGAGACTGTTGAGACGATGGTCAAGCTTGGAGCTGTGATGGAGACTTGGGATTATTGGCAGTTGTTGATTGTTTGTTGTTTTAGCTCATGCCTGGCTAAGTCATCAAGCTCTTTCAGGATTTTGTGACATGCTTTGGGATACTCTCAAGGTGTAGATAATCTTCTGACAATCTTGTCATTTGGAAATAATTTTGTAAAAATTTCCTAATCCTCTAGATAAGAATTCTTTAACCTATATTCTCTGACTCTAATAAAGAATTCTTTAGAATTTTTTCCTAAACTTTTGGGTTCTGTGTAACACCTAGGGATTCCAAACTTCTAACTAGAGGGGTAATTAGCTGAACAAGATTTACAGAAACTGAATTAGTTTTCAAGTTCCTTTGTTAAGTTCCTTGTCGAGTTGCTGTCCATGAAGCAATCTGGTTTAGCCAGGCCTGTTTTAAGTGGTTGAACGAGATTCGAGTAAAGAAGATATTGTTGAGGATGTAATTGTCGCGGAGTCTTTGATCATTATTTGCGTGAATCCGTACGTGATCTTCTTGGATCCCTTTGGGGTGAAGAAGAAGGAAGACTCGCAACAGTTTGCCTCGAAAACTGTAATCTGAGACAATGAGGGACTTTACGGTGGAGAAGGATCTTTACGACTGCGGTGAATCCGGGATTGTACCGTTTTCTGTGTGATTCAAGAATCGCGGGGTGGGAAGTACGTTTTCCTTTCTCTGAATTTTTGACATCCTTTTATGGAGCTTCTGGTACATTATAGTATAGGGTTTAAGTGCTCTAGAGAGTGACTCTTTTGGCGTTTTAAAAATTACCGTGGTAGTAACGTAGATTGCGTTTAATTAAATTTTAATGTTGATTTTAAGTCACTGAGAACCGGGTTTGAACCTATAGCTGGTCCAAAATCAATCATCGATGAAAATCCTTTCATCACGCTTTTATCCAGCTTTCGCAAATTAAAAAATTTTTATTATTAAATTAATTGTGTCTAGAATACGTTAACTTATAAGGAGCCAAATTTTCCAAGTTCCACCGTGACACGACATGCCATGACGAAATTCCTAAAGTTCCAATTCATTTTATTATCGCTAAACGCTTCATTTACTTTCAAACCAGGACACTCGCGTCTCTGTGCAATCTAGACTATAAAGTCTCAGGAAACTCGCATCGACACTCAACGCGAAAACTATCACTAAAAAGAAACCTTTTCTCAACGCTTCGAATAGCTCCAAAAATTCCGCCACGTGTATTTCAATTAACATACCCACGTACTCTAACCTCTTCCGCTCGCCAACAAACGAAAACCACCAATTGTATACAGTATATACGCCAGTAAACGCCAGAAGCGCGATTCTCTAAACCACTTACCCCCACCCTTCCTTCCGTTCCCGAGTTCACACGAATCCCGTGGCCGAAAACAAACGAGCCAAATGGTTCCAAATGTTTCGAATATTCATTATATCCAACCCCTCGATAGCCGTGAATTTGCACGCGAAACCGCGCGGAAATACGAGCCCTCGTTGCTCTTTAAAGTCCGCAATTATCGGCCGGTGGGTGGGAGGGCGAATTGAGAGAGTGGGGGTAATCTACCCCCACCACGCGCCGGTTCAGTTAATCGGGACGATCTTTCGTGCGCGCAATATCCGTGAACAATACGAGGGCTATTATCGCGACGGTGTCCGCGGGATACTCGACGAGCGCCGCGGCTGACATCGAAAATCTCGTTGTCATCGGAAATTCTATTCAGCCGGATCGCTGGTCCGGCCGATTGGCAGATGCCAGGCCAACGATGCGTGTCGACAACGCGATGGTCCGCGTTGCAAGATCGTCGAGACCAGCTACGTCCCCATCTCCCGGCCATTCGATTTTCGAGTTTACGTCGATTAAGCCGCGGCGACCGTGCAAGTGGACGCCGGTCACCGGAAACGGACCGGGTTCCACCGAACGCGACGGATCATGGAGGGGGAACTCGCAGCGCCTTCCTTCCGGAATTTTCACAGGGATGGAGCTTTACGAAAGAAATTTTTATCGAATTCTTGAAAGAATTTTTTGTTGAGCCTGAAGCAGGGGAAATTTTATAAATTATAGAGAACAGAAGTTTTATCGAATTTTTGTCCAGTTCTTAAAAAGAATTCGAATTGTTGTCGAAATACAGGAAAAGGCGATAGAAGGTGGATTTTTAAGTACAGTTAACGTTTTTGGATATTTATCGAAGTGTTAAAGGATTTATTTATTAATCGAAAGTTAATCGTCGAATGAATACAGAAATTTTTAAAAAGTTAGAATTTTTAATTGACTTTGTTGCAAATGTTTCGACTCTAATATTTACATCGTTGTTTATATAGAGGAAAAATGAAATAAGTAGTTAATTGTTATCAAATTAATACATTTATTGATTATTCGCGGAAAGCTCTATTCATAATTATATAATACTATAATTTGAATTATTAAGGTTCGATTGCATGAATGGATAATCTATCGTTGCCTGATAGCTCGATGCATAATGCACTTATCGAATGAACGATATAATATAATTATCCTGACGTTATGAAGGTTGAAATGAAATGAATAATGCGTCGATTAAGTAAATAGAGATTATTTCGTTATATTACTTTTTAAGTTACCATTCCCGAATTATGAAATTAAATGGAAATCCAAAGAAGGCACTTCGAGTTCCTCTGAAAAACGAAAATACGCCCAATTTTATCTAGAACAGATAACACTGTTGACTCGAAAACGCGAGATGAGCGTGAATGTTAATCAAAACGACTAGCAGAATCAAACGTGAATGAGAAGAGAGATTATGAGTGTTCAGGGAAACGAATCTTAAAATGTTACTGCACCATGAAGAAGTTTTATGCCTCTCACCTGTTGACGGTGGAAAGCGAGATGGTGTTACGACGTATGTAAATGGAATTTATATAGTCTATCTGATCTATAATTGAAGTATCAAAGTAAGTTAGGGAAATACTTATTCGTGTTGATGATTTCTTAGTTACAATGTTACTGCGAGGGAAGTGTCCATCTGTTCTGCACTTCGTCCCTTAATCCGATCTTCAACCACCCCTTTGTGCATTTCGTTTCGACTCCCAATAATTTCCACCAGCTTCTTCATACTCCAAAAAATATCTCATTCCCCTAAAATTGTCTCGTGCCCAAAATTTCGAATATTTCTGTAACACTGAACACGTGTACTTCGAACCTATTTATATTTCCTATTTTTTGCGTCGTTCGTTGTTTAGAAAACACCGAGTCGGTGCAAATGGATCGGTACTTCCCTCCCGTGTGTGTTCACAAAATAACATTTAGAGACTTAAAAGACAGAAGAGCGAGGGGGCTAAAAGGAGAAGGGGGAAGAGAGATGGAGAATAATCGGACGAGAAAGATGGAGTTCGCAGAGAGAAAGATTATATAGAAAATGGAGCTGGCCTCCAGGATCGCCACACGAATCATTAGAGACTTTGCTTACGTTTTAATATACACTGTGTAGAAACCTCGGAAGTTAAGTACAACTTAGGGACAATTAAATGTACGCATACGATATTAACGATATTAACGAAAAATCAAAATGGCACGCTCGTGTTACGAGCGAATTACGCCGACGAGTCTTCTGTATAATTCGTGTATGATATATCCGAAAGCTCAATTATCGTCTCCTGTTAGAGGGATCGTTGTTCCCTTTCGAATTTCTAAGTAAGATGAGAAAAAGTACAGAAGAGGAATAGACTTTACGGAAGGAAGCTTTGAAAAGGAAAATTGTACAGCCCGTAACAACAAGTTATTATACCCGTAGCTCACTAAACTTTTCATTCAGATTCTCGTAGATACGTAAAAACGCTATTAAAACGTAACTTTGATCTAAGGATCCACGACGAAGAATCGAGACGCGTTAAGTCAATATCGATCTTAGGCTGGTGTCTCTCACTCTTTCGTTTTAACACCGAACCTGCCACGACCTGTAGACGGTAAAACGAAGGAAGAAGAACATACAGAGGAACAGAATAAGGAGAAATATTAAAAAATTCGTAATACGCAATTTTTAGTCAAAAATTTAGAAACAATTATCTAGACTGTGGTATGGTTGGTGTTAACAGCGACGAATGCCAATATTTTACCTGTCAATCAGTATATGTTGTCTCAAAATTTCTGTTTGGAGGCTACGTAATATTGTAAAAATCCTACTGTGCCAAAGAGGAAGATTTAAGGGTGAGTGACCGAGGTCAGGGGTTGCTGATTTGCCCAATTTTCTTATGAAAACTAAATTAAAACCAGCCTTTGATTCACCGTTCTAAATCTTCTCGAAATTTTCCAAATTTTCAACGAGATTAATTCTGAAATTGATTTTGTACCAAGTCAGAAGCATTTGACTTTATTCTTGCAATTAATACCCCAAAAATTGTCTTCGCTGAATCGGTTCAATCCCTAAAGGAACGTGAGAAAACGTACATTTGGTACAAATACTTGAAGAGAATTATCACAGCAACCCACTGTACCAGCTCACTGACACCAGTCGAAGATTCCAACGTTCTATTCCTACTAGCTCTTAATTAAGACTCATCTCGAAGACTTTGATACAGCAATCGAGTCACCGAACGGTAAAGTGATTAGTACCTGAATATTAAGTGTTCTAGGTTTACGCGACTATCAAACCACGCGAGCATCGTTTGTCCATGGCGAATGAGAGGAATGAAAACGTAGGGTTGTTCTTCTCCACGCGATTAGGCTTCGCTGTGCGTTCTCCGAGGCTTCAGAAAACGATCAACGAGGCGAAAGGATGCCATAAGAACGATCGCCGGGTCGAGTGTGCCAGACTCGACTGTACAAACGATTCGCCGCGCCAGATGGCGCGCCCGGCGCGCGACGCCATTTTGTCACTTCCGCTTCTTGCTGTCGCTCCACGCGCTTAAATCGCTGTCAAAGACTTTTCTCG